CAGCACCTGGGGACCCTGGGCCACACAGACGTCCAGGACCGAGAAGTTCAACGGTTGATGTGTACAATGTCCTGAATACTCTTGGTTCTCATTATGTGGCCCTCATACCAGCATCACCTGAGAGCCTGCTTGGAATGCAGAATCTCAAGTCCACCCTAGATGCCCTGAATCTGAATCTCTGAGGGTGGGATCTATGCATCTCCATTGTAATATGTTCTGCAGGTGTGTCTTGTTGCATGGATGATTGAGAAATACTGGCCAACCCTTAGCTATAGACTGAGGTTTATCTGTCAGCTCCCCACACCACTGGGAACTAAAATAAACAAAACATCACGTTGTATGTGTTATGGGCTGCAACGTGTTCTCCCCAAAATTCTTATGTGAAAGACCTAACCCCAAGACCTGAGAACATGACTGTATTTAGAGATAGGGTCTTATTGGGAGTAATCAATTTAACGTGAGGTAAATAGGATCTAATCTAGTGCAAGATGACTGATGTCCTTATAAGAAAAGGCAAGTAGGACACAGGTGCTCACAGAGGGAAGACTCTCTGAAGACAGAGGGAGAGCACAGCCATCTGCAATCCAAGTAGAGTGTCCTCCTGAAAAACCAACCCTGCTGACATCCTGATCCCAGACTTTTGGCCTCCAGAATTTATGAAAATAAGTTTCTATGTATAAGTCAGTCAGTTCCTGGTATTTTTCTATGGCAACCTTAGCAAATAAAAAGTATCCAACAAGCAACTTCTGACTCCTCTGGTGTTAGATCCTTCAGCCCTCAGGAAAGTGAAACATAATCAGAAAGTGTCCGGTGCGTGGACTCTGGGAGTTGTCCTCAAAACACAAAGCAGGCATGAGTGGGGCAGGAGCGTTCCTCAGTGTAGTGCTGGCTGCACAATTTGGTCTTTTTAAGTTTTTAAAATTCCCTGGAAGAAGGATTCTCAACAGCCTAAAATAATAGAAACATAAATATTGAAACAGACAGAGGGTAGGAAACTGTTAGCTTTCATCTCTGCTGGTCTGTGCTCTATAGTTTCTCAGTGAATAATGTTCAGGCTTAGATCCCCAAGGAAGGACAACCCAGAAAACTTCAGTAAAAGCATTTGCTGGAGTAAGTTTCTATGTTTCAGAAACAGCAAATAGGATGGTGAGGAGGCCTTGGTGTTGTGGAGGTCACTACCCGTGAGCAATGAAACTCATGTCCTCCACGAACACTTGATAAACTACGTGATGACCTGAGGCCCTGAGATTTGGCCATTTTTTTCCTCTGGTGCAAGCTCTGCTGCTTGATGGTCATCCCTGGGTGTGATAAGGTCCCTGCATACCAGGGCTGCGCTGATGTGTGGCCTCACAGTCATGCTGCCCTGGAGAAGGCTGTGCATCACCTGGGAGCCCCCCCAAGTGACGGTGAGTCAAGTCCCCACAGAACTGTCAAATACAACTGCTGCTGAAATCTATGTTGGCCCCTGGGGACGTGAATGGGAGCGCCAGGCATCCACTACAGCGTGTGCATAAACTTCACTTTTGTCAGGTGGATCCACCCAGACTCGTGTTCAATCCACTCAGCCACAAGGCCTTTGTGACAATATCCAGCCCCAATGTACACGGAAGTCAAAATGTGAGTGTCAGTGAGTCGGGGTTCATCGTGCACTGCTGCAGGTGGACGTGTGGTTTTGCTTGACATAATCCAGCATCCTGCCCAACCCACAGTCTGCATCCCTCTAGGACCTGCCCTGACCTGCTGAGAGGGCGTCACTGTGTTTCTTGCCTCGTGGGATGGCCCATGCCTTGAAAACTGACTGCCCATTGCCTTTGTCACCAGGCTATCATCCAGGGTTTGGGTGATGCAATTATCCTTCATAGCTCTGAGTTCAATGGAGAAACTCACAGACACTGCCCAGGGCGGACTGAGCACTCTGTCCCTGAGGGTAGTGGCAACCTGAGCCCCCAAATGGAAGAGGAGTCAGTTATCACCACAGGTACAGTAACACTTCCTTTTTGGGCTGATCCACAGTACTGAGGACTCCAATCGATGAGGAACAGTCACAGCCTCAGGATCAGCAGAGACTTTAAAGTGCCTGCTGAGGAGCATCCTCCCTGGGAACTGGGATCTTCAATCCTTCACAGCCTAAGATGGCAGAAACAAGAGGGAAACTTCTGCACGTGGTCAACATACTTGTTAAGAGGAACTCACCCTACTGTACCCACTGGTCTCCAGACCCTTGTGTTCCTTTTCCTGGGCTGCAGCACCCTGCACTGACCACTGAGCTGAGATGTGCACAGCTTCCTGGAGGATGCAGACATAGTATAGGGGAGTTTGATTTAGATCTTATGTTAACTCCTGAAACAAAATGCCATAAAATATCTGGGGTCAAGCACACAAAAGTCCATTTGCAGACACTTGAATCATTCCTTCTCTTGTACTCTCACGGTTCTGCTTCTGGGAAAACTAGAAAGTTTTAGGACCACTGGAACCCATGCTCATGTTCTCATGGTCGCACTTTCTAAGCAACAGTAATGACCAGATTCCTGAATCATGCCACCCTGCAGGGTCTCCGATCAGGGAAGGAGACAGCACCTGGGGCACTGGGTCTGGCAAAGGAACTAAGAGCAAAGCAAACTCACGTTAACATGCAGGTAAATTCTGGTTGGGACAGGCTGCCACCTCCCAAGATGGATGTGCTCTGAAATAATCAAGCAGATAACACATGGACGGTGGGTATTCTCATGGGAGGGGGCTGAGCTGACAGATGGGTGTAATATCTATCATATTTAGCTCAGGCACTCGGTGGGAGGAGTGTTAAAGAACAAAAGAACTATTCCCACACTTATTAAGAACAGTAAGGCAGACTTAATTCAGGGGTGCTGGTACAAAGCTGTTTTCCAGGAGGTGAGGAGAGACTGGGTTCCACTCTGAATAAAAGAAGGGAAAGTTGTAATTTAGAGCCAAGGAGTGGG